TCCTCCCTCCCCCTGATTAAGAACACAAGAAAGCCCATTATAAGTATGTATAATCAATCACAACAGATTTGCACACTGGTCGTGTCCAAGAAAGGTTTGTCTTCTTATGTATTCTGAATCTTTGACCTCTGTCAGGAGGTGGGTAGAATATTTCTTTACTCCTCTGGAGTCAAACACACGTCACATTCATGTACCAGAACTTGTTTAACCATTCCCCAATTTATGGACACCCCCTCAGATTCTTATTTTTTGCCACTCCCAAAAGCTATAAATATCTTTGTACATCCTTAGAGTCTATTTTGTGAGGATTAATCCCTTCCTTAATGCATCCTTCCTCTAATTCTACCTCTCCTTTTTTCCCCTTTCCCCTCCTTTTTTTTCCCCTGTGATTTTTTTTTTTAATTTTGCCATCAGGATTTGGTCTGGTGCATTTTCTTTTTTTTTTCCTTTTTTAAAAAATTTTCCCCCTTTGGGCAATTGGGGTTAAGTGACTTGCCCGGGGTCACACAGCTAGTAATTGTCAAGTGTTTGGTCTGAGGTTGGATTTGAACTCAGGTCCTCCTGACTTCAGGGCCTTTGCTTTATCCGCTGTACCAATTAGCTTCCCCTTTTTGGTACGTTTTCTAGATCCTGGTTTGGAGGAATTGGGGGAGGGGGGGGACAGGGCGGAGAAGTAGTTCCAGCACTGCTTCCTGCTGTCTTGGTTCTGCCCCCATCTCTGGATTTTAGCAAAGCATTTGGTAGAGATAGTCTTGTGGATGAGATAGAGAAATATGGGTTAGATAATGGTAGATTTGGGATTGGTTGAATGACCAGACGCAGTGTGGTCATTAAGGGGTTGATGTAAACTTAGAGGGAGGACTTTCAGTATTAAATGTCTCAGGAGTGTGTCCTTGCCTTTGTCCCTTTCAACTTTTTTTTCTTCAATCAATGATTGAATGAAACCATAGGGGGAATGCTTAACAAATTTACAGATACCAGTAAAGATAGCTAATATGTTAGGATCCAAAATAATCTCAGTAGTCTAGAATGTTGGGCCACATGTCAGGAAAACCCAGAAGGAAGAGAGTATCAAGGGGGAGAGGGTGGTAAACAGTGTCCTTTGCAGCAGAAAGGTGGAGAAGGATTAGGACTGAGAAAAGACCATTAGCTTTGGCAATTAAGAGCTTAGTGACTTTGGAGAGAGAAGTTTCAGTTTAATGTTAAGGCATTAATGATCATTATTGCAAGGGGCTGAGTGAGTGAAAGAAGAGCAGTGAGTGTAGACAGTTTTCTCAAGGAGTTTGGCTGAGAAAGGGAGGAGAGATAGGTTTCTTTCCAACTCTTAAGATACTGTGATTATAAATGCAATGATTTCACTGGTGGAGTGAAAAAATGCTGAATTTGGAAGTCAGAAGACATTGGTTCTAGTGCCAATTGGATGTGTGGCCTTGAGCATTCATTTCTCTCTGAGTCTCAGTTTCCTCATTAGGATTTGGGCTAGATGACCTCATTTGTTTCAGCTCAGAAGGGCTGGTTCTAGTTCTGGCTTGGCTGCTGTGACTTGTGAGACCTCAGGAAATCACTTCACCTCTCTGGTCTTCAATTGTCTCATCTGTAAAATGGATGGAGGTAGGAGGCAGGCCCAGATAATCTCTTAAAGACCCTTCTGCCTCTAGGATCTTTCAACTCTGAGGCCTCACCTTGGTGCTGCTCTCTTTGAAACTGCCAGCAGTGGCTGGTTTTCCCTGAAGCCCCTGTTCATCAGACCCCTCATCCTCTTCAATTACTACCACCTGGCTCTCTGAGCTTTCCCCTGGAACAGCTTCCACATACATGCTTGACCCCCCTCCCCCAGTCTCCTTGCAAGTTCTGGGAGCATCTGACCCCAAACTTATCAATTTGTCTAGCGCTTCTTTCCTGAGCTGGTAGCTTATTCTAGGAACACTCCCTACCTCAGAGGTGGGTAAAGCTACTTACAATGACCATGCCTTCACCTCATGTCTTCTTTGTGTCCTCCCCATGCTCTGTTCTTTGCCCCGTAACCAAATTTCCCTAGGATGGAGTCCTGCCTGGCTTCCATCATTTTCCCAGGGAGAGGTGTACTGGCCTGAACTACAGTGCCTAGGGCTCTCCTCTGGAATACTTGTCACAACAGTCCTCTGCTTAGCCTACTCCTTAGTGCCCTCTCCTGGGGCACTTGCCTTGGTGCCATGTCTGCTTGGCCTGCCATCTTTCTTTATCCTGGTGCCAGATGCTCCTAACACTCTAGATTTCCTCTTAATATTATTGCTGGGACCTTCCCTGGCATTTCTTGCACTTACCTGCTGGTATCAGACAACGGCTCCCAAACCTCTGGTACTGACATTTTCCACATTTACCCCGTTCATATTTCCCTTTGTTATCTAGCTGTGAAGCACCAGTGGTTTTGATGTCCCTTCCCTAGAAAATGGCTCTCTTTCTCACTGCCGTGACCTTTGGCAATCCCATTGGGCTTTGCAGACTATTTTTAAAAACTTGAAAGGCTGCCATGGAAAAAGGGTAATTAGGTTTGTTTGCTGGGTCTTAGTGGGCAGAACTTGGACCAATAGGGGAAGTTAAAAGGGAGGTATATCGAATCTCAGTATGGAAAAATCTTCCTAATAATGATGTCCTAAAGTGAAAGAGCTCTCTGTTACTGAAGATGGTTGCACAGAGAGTGGAGGAGCACTTGCTAGGTATATTGTGAAGAGAGGGTTCCTACTTCAAGTTCAAAGATTGAACTAGATGGAAAGTGACTTGGAATCAGAGGATCTGGGTTCAAATTCTGGAAACAAATCATTTTATGGGATTTTATGTTCTGTGAAGTTTGGATTCAGTCAAAGGGCCACACTGAAGGTTCCCCACTCCTGACCTACATGATTTCAGAAGGCCTGTTCAGCCCTGAAGAAGCTATGGATAAATTGGGAAACTTGCATTTGAATTTCATTACTGCCTTTTACTGATTTTCTAATCACAGCGCTGGCTGTGTAATGTCTTTGAGCTTCAGTAAATTTACTCTTGTAAATGGAGAGAGTATTTACCTCACAGGTTTTCTGGATGATCAAATGAAGTCGTTTAAGCCCCAGAATGCTACATAAAAGTCAGAAATGATTACCTGTAAAATGTGGGTCATAGTTCAATCCACACCTCTTAGGTTTGTGGGTCAAATGCTTTGTAAATGTTAAAACATGGAAATGCAAGTCTCAGGACCTATGGTAAGGATAAAGTAACTCATATTTCTATGGCCCTCTAAAGTTTGCCAAAGCACTTTTCTCACAACAACCCTGTGAAATAAAAATAAAGATTATTACCCCTATTTTGTAGAGAAGGAAACTGAGGCCCAAAGTTGGGAGAGTGACTTGCTCAGAATCACACAGCTAGTGTCAGCTCCAAGGCCAGATCCCAAAGCCTTTTCACTGTATAACTCAGCATAGGCAACAGAAGGGTGACACTTCTCAAGGATCACTTCTCTTAATCCCTTCACCTTTTCCCCCACGCCCTGCATGCACCTGGTGTGCTGGGAAGACAAGGGAAAATGTGGTATTTGCTCTTGGTGGTCTCTTATGAGACGAGACTCGGGCACAGAGCAGACACCTGCTAAAAAAATTTAAAAAAGCCCAAACCACTAATTTCTAGGGAGCTGTTGTGTGGGGCAGATTGTCAATGCTGCTAACCTTTGGAAAGGGCTGGTGTGGGGGAAGAAGGACCTGGCCTCTGGTTGTGGGAAGAAGGGTGAGGTGAGTATGTGCTAAAGACTCAGATTGAGTCGTGCCACACTCAGAATAGGGACTAGCTCACTATTTCAGGAAGACCTCAGCAGCTGTGCTTCACTTCTCATTCTATGCCGCTGTCTTGACAGCTCCTTGCCCCTATACTGGCCATCCTTGTAACTTCTTGGGTCAAAGTGCCCCTCACTGGCACCATTCCCCTATGTGTGTAGTCCACCGAATTAGAATGTAAGCTTCTTGAGGGCAGATAGCGTCGTTGCCTTTGTATTTTGTACCCTCACCTTAGCACAGTGCTGGGCACCTAGCAAGCTTTTAATGCTTTTTATTTTAATTCGTGAAGCCAGCGCTGAGTTCTGGATTCTGCCACAGAGTAGCCACAGAACCTTGGGCAAGTCTCCCTAACCTCTTCAAGCCTCGGTTGTGTAAAATGAGACGGTAGTATCCACCTCGAGGAGTTTTCGGGAAATACTCTGTATTCCTTAAAATGCTATAGGGATAAGTTATTATTGCAGATTTCTGACTTGTCCCTGAGCTGACCAGATACCCCTGCTCAGCTCAGCCCTGTAGACAGACGGTGGTAAAAGCTCATTCCATCTAGTGAAAAGTAGTGAGTGTATTGTGAAGAGACCAGGCGGGAGGGCTGGGCTGGGATGGGGGAAGGTGGTCCCTCGGGGAGGTTCATAGGTAAGGTCCCTCTCCTTCAGGCTTCTGATCAGACTCTCCCTTCTGAGTCCAGGGTCCCGGATGAGGTCGCGGAAGCCAAACTGGATATGGGGCGCTGTGATCGCCCCACTCCCCTACCCGGAATGATAGATTGGGAGCTAGCATCTTTTTGTGGGTGGAGGATTGGGAGCGGGGCGGCCGAAATTGGGGGAGGAGCAGACCTGCTTGGGATACCGGTCTCTAGGGGCCCTTCTCTTCCTTTGCAGCTGAGCTTCCCCATCTACGCGGCCCATGTTGGAAGCCCCGGGTTCGGGTCGGATAGAGCCTGGCCCAGCGGCCCTCGGGTTAGCTAGAGCATCTCCATTCACAAGGCTGCCGCCGCTGGCGCCGAGAAAGGGTTAAAGAGCTCTGGGCTTCGCTATTGGGAGCGGAGGTTCCGCTCCTTCGCCCCGAGCCAATCGCCAGGCTCTCCGAAGCGGCGGCTGCCTCCTGACTGGCTGGGCCACCTGCCCCGTCGGGGCCGGAGTAACGCGTTGCGGGGGGTGCAGTTGCCCGCGCCCCGAGAAAGAGAGGGAGGGGCGGGAGGGGAGGATAAAAGGAGGTGGCGGCTGCTGCGGGGCCTCGCACACTGCTCCAGCGGCTCAAGCAGAGCGCACACTGTTCTCTCGACCCTGCAGCATGAGTGGCCCCGCAGCCTCCGAGGAGCGGCAGCCCGAGCTCCCCAGGTTCCTCAGGTGAGTGATGCCCATGGGAAGGGATGGGGGCGGGGAGCGAGCGCAGGTTGTCAGTGCCCAGCCCCGGCTGGACGCGGCACCAGCAGGGCCTTGAACACCGCGGGAACTTCTTCGGCTCCTACCCTGGAAAGATCGAGGGGTCTTCCAATGCCTGGGCGCAGTGATCAGAAAGAGTCCTCCCGGGAGGAGGCATAGGGCCCCACGGACCTCGACCATCTGTTGGGGTACGTGAGGAAAATTGAAACTCCTGGTTCCTGGAGAGCTAAGGGGTGGTCTCCCTCAGTCAAGCCCCCAGGGAGCGCCTTTGCACAAGGCTAGGTGGGGGGGGTGGGGGTGGTTAGAGAGGATCTGTCCCTAGCTGACACAAGTGGCTGCTCATTCTGACAGCTTCCGTCAGGGAGAATTAGGAGAGTGCCCTGGACCATCCCCTGATTAGGGGCTGTGGTTTGGGGCTCCCTCCCGCTGCTCTAGTTTGGCCACTGCAAGGGCGTCGAACTCCCCGTTTCATCACTGTCCCCCGGTGACTGTCCTAGTTTTCTCTTTCAGCCGCTCCTCTGCCCACTTACTAGCCCCTACCCTTCCCCAGAGGGGATCCTACCAGAGGGGATTCTATTCTCTCCTGAAGACCAACCTCCTCCTTACCCTTCTGCCCAGGGCTTTTTGGTTTGCTGTGACTTGGGGGTCCCTCCTCCTGTTCTCTCTCAGCTCCCTCCTTCCACAATCCTCACCCGTTTCCCGGGAAACTGCTATTGCTACTGTCTCTCAGGTCCCAGCCCCCTGGTGCTTCTTAGTAGGGGAGTGAGGGATCCTATCCCTGACAACTTCCTGATCTCCCTGGGGCCTGCACCTCAGGGTGGTATTGGTAGCCACACTTGAGCCTTGCTAGGCCACAGTTTTCCCCAGGATACAGGGTTAGAGCCCTTGGAACAGTGATTATTGAGAGCTCTCCCCAAGGGCCTCCTAGCCTCCTCACTAGGGTTACAGGTCGCTCCCTCAAGCCTTATTGCAGCACAGACTGAGACAAGGAGGTCTTGCAGCTGGTGGAAGTTGTCTAGCCTATTAGATGGAGGGTGAGTCTAGAAACAGATTTTAAGAGTAGGAAAGGAATAGCAAGAGAAAGGGACCCTGATCCAGATACCTGCCCTATCACCCCAGTCAACTGTGGTGAGGGAGGTGGAAGCTGACAAAGGCACAGAAATTATTTCTTTGAGCTCCCCCCCTTTCCCTTGATGAACCAGAGACAGAATGTGGGATTGACTATTCGTCAGCTTTCAGTTAGGCACCTTTCTTTCCCACAGTCCCTCCCCCTCTTCTCTCTTTCCCTCCAACAAGAAGCCTCCCAGGCACGTAGCACCAAGAAGTCCTGACTTCTGGCTTTTCTGCTTTTTTTCGCCTTTTTCCAGGTGATATCTGCCTTTTCTTTGAGTCCCCTGCCTGGGGAACACAGTGCCTGGAACATAGCACTTAATAAATGTTTGTTGGTTGACTGATATACAGGAGGATGTAAAGGTGACCCAGACAATCAGCTCAACTTCAGTTAGTTACTTTCTTTCTCTAGGCCTCAGTTTCCTACTCTGTAGAATGAGAGGATTAGTCTGGTCTCCAAGTTCCCTTCCTGTTTTAACATTCCATGATCCTATAAGCTAAATAGGTGTTGTGAGAAGGAAGCTGGGACAAAGCCCAGGGTGTGGGAGAAGGGAGTGGCAAAGGAGTCTTCTTAGACTAGAAGTTGCTGACCACATGCACCCATAGTGGGTGGGGAGCTGTCCAGGTGGGGAGGTCCTGATGACTGTGACCCATGACCCGTATGCCTTACACTGATGTCCGTTTATATCCTTGCTCTGTCCTCATTGGAGCACTTTGGAAGCTTCTAGAAAGGAATCAGAAAACCCGAGATCAGGTCTTGCCCCTTTTTACATTACCCTCATTACATTATATTACATTACCCTCATTACATTAGCTGAGTTGCCTCGTTTGTTAAGTGAGCGTGATTCTCTACACTTCCTGCATCACATAGCTGTTGTGAGGATCACACACCAGAAGTGAATGGTTCTGGTGTGTGGTCCTGAAACCTACTTTCATGTTCTTTGTCTGCAGAAAAGCTTCGGGAATAATAATAATAACAATAACAAATAACCATATGGGGCTTTCAGGTTTGCAAAAGCCCCTTTACATATATTATCTCATTTGATTTTCACAACCCTGCAAGGTAGGTACTATGCTTATCCCCATTTTACAGATGGGGGAACTGGCTGAGAGAAGTTAAGTAACTTGCCCAGGGTCACATGGCTAAGTGTCTGAGGAAGGATTTGAACTCAGGTCTCCCTGAATCCAAGTGCCACCTATGGGTCTGGAGTGAGGGGGTGGAGACATAGAGCTTGGGTCTGAGATAAATATAAGAGCTAGTCTTTCAGAGATTAGCTGATGGGGCTGGCCTTAACACTCCAAGACAGGAACTTGGAGAGATGTCTCCTAAAGTGGAGGTGGGTAATTCTGGCCTTCTGAACTCCCTGGTAAGCTGACCCACCTCTCTATCATGTGTTGAAGAGATCATGGGATCATAACTCTAGGATTGGAAAGGACCTCTCCAGCTCTCTCATTTTGCGGATGAGGAAATTGAAGTCCATAGAGGTTCAATCACTTGCCCAAGGTCACACAGTAATAAGCATCAGAGGCAAGATTTGAACTTGGATTCTCTGATCAGGGCTTCTGCTCTTGTAGCACTGGTGGGGTAGAAAGGCTCAGGCAGGGGGTAGGGTTCAGGTACTGTGGTAAGGGCTTTTTAATGGGATCTCCTTCCTTGAGGGAGCAGAGTTGGGAATGGAATTCCCAGCCCCCTCCCCACCCTCACTTCCAGCCTCCCTCTCCCCAGTGTAGGTTGAGTAGCAGCCCCCACCTGTAGTTATTTCTAGGGCTGGTGACGTGTGCTGTGAGGCTTCATTGTCTCCTGCTCCCTAGGAGCTCCCGCCTCTGCCTCCCCCACAATTTCCTACCTTCCTCTCCTAAGGTTCTGGAGCACGTGCCCCTTTGCCACCACTAAAACTTAATCCTTACTCTCTAACTGCAGGAGGGCTGGAGTCAGTGAGTTCCCAAGTCATAGATCATCAGTCGGGACAGCTGAGGAAATAGAACCCAGTGTCAGGATCCGGCTGGGGCCACAGGCTGGGGATGGTTAGGCTTGCTTTGGGGATAAGGGGTGGTTGCCGTTGGGGATGGTCAGAGTTGGGCTGGAGGGGGTGGAATAAGAAACAGGGAGAAGGCTTCCTCCAAGGTCTCCCAGTGAGCCAGGAAGGAACAGGAATCAAGGTATCCTGACCCCCAACTCTGTGCCTTTCCACAGGCTGCCCCCTATACTGGGATCGCTCACTTCTGCTTCCTGGCTTCCCTCGATGCCTTCAAGTCTTAGCTAAAATCCCACCTTCTGCAAGAAGTGTTTCCTTGTCCCTGAATGCTCTCAACGCCAGTGCCGTCCCTCTGAGATTACCTCCATTTTGCCCCATACATAGCTTGTCCATTTATGATTATTTGCATGTTGAGACTTAGAACATGAGCTCTTTGAAGGCAGGGTCTGTTCTTTTGCCTTTCTTTGGATCTCCGGCATGAAGCATAGTGCTTGGCACGTAGTAGGTGCTTAATAAATGCTTGTTGACTGACTCCCAGGCTAGTGCTTTTCGAGTACCATCAGCCACATCCCTTCCTCCACTCCACTCCATGGTTCCCTGTGAGTGCTTTAATTACCACTTAAGCAGGGAAATGATTCCCAAATTGGCTGGGGGAAGAGCTGGCGAGATGGTACTGTCTCCTGTCGGCCTGCTCCTCCCTTCCTTTTGTTCCCCCAGAGAGTGGAACTTTTGGGAACAAAGTGAGGGGAGGGGAAGGGAGGCAGGAGCAAACAACTGCTTTCAGCTCCCTCAATTTCCATCACCCCGCTTTCTGATTCCTCCAGCCTAAATTCTGAGGGAGTTTGGGATAGGTGGGATGATTAAGTGGCAACATGTTGGAAAGGTGATTCTTCTTGCTGCACCTGCTGACGTTGGCTGCCTTCTAAAGAAGCCCACCAGGAAGGGGGTTGGGACCTTGCCTGTTCTCCTTTCCTTCTTTCTGCTTTCCAAGTTCAAGGGTCAGTGATCCTCTCTTCCTTGGCAACCTCAGCCATGCCTATGACTTTAGCTATTCCTTACTGGGTAGATGGTTCCCTGATGTTTTTTTTAAGTGTCTGTTTTGGATTTCCGATTTCCTGCTGGACATCTCTTGAAAGCACCACCTCACATTTGGTTTGGTTTAGGGCCATAGATTTAGAGCTGGAATCAACCTGAGAGGTCACCTCGTCCAACCTCCTTATTTTATATGTGAGGAAAATGAGGCCTAGAGTGATGAAGTGACTTGTCCAATTAGTTTAGTAAGTGGAACAGCCAAGATTCAAACTCAGCTCCTCAGGCTGTAAATCCAGCGTTTGTGATTCCTCCACACGCTCTAAATTGAGTTCTACATCACCCCTCCCCAACTTCTATCAAATCTGCCCCTCTTCCCCAGTTCCCTGTTTCAGATGACATCACCTTCCTCCCCGTTACTCAGGTTCAGAACCTCAGTCATTCTGAAATCTTCCTTTGTCTTCACCCCCTCACACCCAATCATCTGCTAAGTCTTGCTGATTCCACCCTTACAAAAAAAAAAACCAAAACCCAAACAAAACCATTCTTGCATCTGTCCCCTCTGCTTAGCACAAGCATTCTCTCATTCAGGGATTCGTGTAGTAGCCACCTAATTGATAACCCTGTTTCCAGTCACTTTACCTCCAATCTCCTCTAACAGTCCATTCTGGAGCACTTCTTTCTAAGTGTCAGGAAATTCTTCCTTATTTTAAGCCAACATTTGCCTCCTTATGACTCCTTCTGGTCCGCCCCTGCCCCTCCCCACCCCCACCCCCATGGGCTGTAGTCCTCTCTGGAGCCAAGCAGAATAAATTGAATCCCTCTTCCCCTCTCCCCCACACCAACAGC